CCTACAGCCCGAATTCCAGCTGCGTACATGATAGTTCACCAGTGACGACAATCGCGTTCTACAACCTGAGGTGTGATACTGAGACGAATGTTATAATTGTGGTACAGACCCATTACTTAGTAATTGTGTAATATAACAGTGATGCCATCTCAGTGCTTGGTTCTCGTTCGAAAATTTATGATGGATCCGGCATGTTAATCGGGGCAGAGACCCTACGGCAATAACGAAGAGATAAGTCCTTCAGAAGGGTCAATGCCACGCACGGGCACATTATGTCCGCTGTCAAAAGTATAATACAGTATGTTTAAATTCTTGGTGCAATTTCAGAGGTTGCAATTTTAGGTGGTTTGGATGCGAAAGATGCTAGTGACGTAATACGAAATTATGGCGTAAACGTAATACGCAGATAGTCGTGAGATGATGGCGCAGTTTCACAGGCGGTGGTGATGGCTACGTCTATAAGTTCGTGAAGAATAAACTAACATTTAATAAACGTAACTAATTACAAACTAAAAGCAATAATTTTCGTTCCTCTAGGAAATTAAGTTAGAAAACCCCATTTCTTTTCTACTGTACAAAGAAATAAAATAAAAGAACTTGCATGGGTATTTAGGAACACGGACTTAGAGTTCACACATGTGAGATGTACTCGGTGCGAATTCCGACGTTACGTTTCCGTCAGAAAACACCGCCACTGAACAAGAATGAAAAAATACATTTACTGGCTTAATAATACTGTAATGATCGCAAACTTTATTAGAAGTATGAATTGTTAATTTTGTTGAAAGCGGATGCCTGCAGTTTCTTAGAACACATTATTAGCACAGGCTCAGTCGAAAATAAACTTACTTCCTTTCAATAACAAGCAGTGTTTATTGCAGTGCTGTCCTTAACGACTTTCTGACATCCGAATTATAACTGCAGAACCACTTACACTTTTGTGGAGGAACTTTAATTCCAAAACAAGTAGTTCTCTTTTACTGTAGTCTGGCGAAAAGACGTGATTATGTACATGTTTTCTTTGCTTTTACTTCAACACCAATATCCTCACAGCGTCCAGAAGAGTGTATTTTCTTTATAACATTTATGTGATCGATAAAAATATGTAGCACGACTTCCTTCGGAGGAGAAGTATAGCCGGTGGTCCCATGTCGTGGATTTACGACATGCAAAAGAACCTTACGAGCATGAACGAGATGTTTCGTAAGCAAATTTCATTGGCCATTTTACACCAAAGTCTCTGGCAGAGGCCTTGCGATGGACTGATCACTCGTCCAAATGTCTAAAAGTAGATCAGAAACCTCCGAAAGGAGGCCCCTATGCTCCACGTAGGAGAGAAAGGGTATGAAGAAGAAGAATGTGATCGATCAACAAAGTAACATCAGCACAGAACAGAGAATAACATGTTTCATTCAACTCCAATCTGCGCGCAATCTGCAATCTGTTTACAACCTCAAGACTCCCACAGCATCTTACCACAACACGGTTCTCGGTAATGAGGGCAGATGGAAAAAGAAGATAACCCCTTCTAACAAATTAACTTCAATGTCTCTACTGTCTGGACGCGAATAATACCCAATAAATTATTTTTTATTGCACCCAGGACATTCACCATCCCAATGTCCAGCGCACAACGACATAGCCTATGACCTCAGTGTCAAGGATAATTGCTCAGTTGGTCCGAGGTAACGCAATCAACTACTTCCCGTTTCAGAAGACCCAGGAACATTCAATCTGTCAGACTAGAATAAATAGCTCCTGTCATCACATTAATGTAAATACAAGGAAAGAAATGCGCAAATACACTGCAGAACTTGTGTTTGTAAACATCGTTTAAAAACTAATCCCACACGTGATGGTAAATATACTCTTAATATAAGAGCCAATGTCCGTCACGCTCGGCTTGACGATATTACCGTTCGTGCGATGTGGAAAGAAACTGAAATTAAGTAC